TGCTCGAAGTGGCTTTAGTGGCTTGAGAAACATGTGGCGATGAGGGAAACAGAGTATCTCACCAAGAAATCCCCTGAGGAGACTTTTCATTATAGACTGGTTCCTCGACACCTCCTCTCTTCTCTTTCTTGTTCTCCTCGTATCCGTCCTGTCTCTTCCCACCAGGGTTTCTCTCCTGCTCTGGGCAGCACAATTACTTAGAAAGGAAGTATAGGGTAGTGACAAAAAGAGATGTGTTCCCCTATTTCTGTTCCTAACTCTGAGCAGTAAAGTAGAAAAATATGTACATGGTCAATGAGGTCAGCTCCATGTATAAATTTCAAAGACCCAGGCCCCAAATAGGAATGCAGTGTAATCAGTGTTATCAAAGAAACCAGATGTCAGCCGAAGGTGAGTGGTGAACAGGAAGGCGGTGGCTAAGAACGGAGGCTGTGATATTAGGTGGGCCTGGACTTGAATCCGGGCTCTAACATTTACTAATTGTATGGCTGGAGCAAGTAACTCAATTTCTCTCGGCCTGTTTCTTATTAGCAAGATGGGGGTGATAGCACTTATTTCACTGGGATAAATGGGGTCATGGATTTAGAGGCTGAGCACAGTACAAACATAACTCACATCGTCAAGTCCAGGTGGATAGTAACTATTTTAAAAAGTTGATTCAGAGAGTCAGAATTTCTCCATGTCCATAAAGCACTCCCTTCACAGGGATATATTCCTATCCCTTCGGCAGGAGTAGCTTCACAGACGGACACATTAGACTATAAATGTGTGATGCTGCTCACCATGAAGACGGTCCAACGAATTACCCTTAGTCACTTTCCCTGTCCAACGAATTACCCTTAGTCACTTTCCCTGTTTGCTAAGCAGCCGTCTAATCGGGCTCTCTGTGTTAACTTTCTGATAAATATAGTCTGCTCATCAGACCAAGCTGACTTGAACATTCAGGTCTGTTTGACCCTCCTAGCTCTCTAGAGTAAATAAAGTGGTGTTCCATCTGTACCTCAGTCTCTTGTGAGTTCAGCTGCACCCAAGAGATTGATCAACTCTGACAAAATCAAATCTCTAATCCTATAAAGTCAAACAAGGGTCATATCCTGAGTTTCACCAAAATAATAATACTGGAGGTGGCTCTAAGCTGTAAATTACTGACCTACAAGACAAGTATAGGCTGCAGTTTCTTTGAACTACACAAAGTTTTTTGTTTTGTTTTTTAATTATTTGAGCAAACATTTAAAAAACAGGAGTTTTCACCAACAGTATTAATATGTATTTCCCTACTTAAAAAAAAAATCTCAGACATAGGGCTACGGCTTGGGCAGCTGTCTTCTGCAGAGAGGGTCCTGTCTCAGTTCTGTGTTCTGGAAATGCAGACCTGCTCTCACTCCGCATTATTTCACTCAGATGCTACCTGCCTAACCCCAGAGGACTTACTTTTGTGACTCCTGTTCTGAATAAGAACACTTTTGACATTTTCTTAGGGTTTTTATTTCTTGCAAAAGAGGGAAAGAGTCAGGAAGAAAATGCCCATTCCATGAATGCCACTTAACCATTTTTCCCCCCATTGAGCATGATCAGATCGGTTTGGAAGCACACCCATTTTTCAAAAAATTCAGATTAAGGTAGTCTCCTGGGCATTCCTTTGTATGAGCAAATGGGACCGCAGGGAGTGGGTGAGAGGGTGAGATGGGGCAGGGGGCTCCTACTGCCCAGTGCTGAGGCTGGCAATGGGCCATGAGGAAAGCAGTGGCGTGGGGTCGGCGGGAGGCTCGGATGGGTCAACCACTCCTATGCTCTATCCTTCTCTTCCGTCTCCACAACTTTTGCCCCAAGTCCTGCTTTTTAATAATGTTGGAGGGAGAGGGGACACTTGGGGATTTGGCATGGGGTGACAGCAGAATCTGAGGTAGCAGTGGGTCAGCATTGGGACAGAAAGTAAGAGGTTAAGAGGAAATCTCAGCCATCCAGCTAGAATGGCCGGCACTGGGTGCTCATTCATATGAAAAGGACAGAGTTGTAGGCAATTGTCAGGGAGGAGTGCTGCCTGTAGAACTCTAATTAGGCCGTTTCATGAACATCTAACAGTTCAGAGATAATGCTATTCAGGAAATCTTTAGAACCAAAGGGAGAGCAAATAAAGTTTAATAACCAATGAGGACATCAAGGGAGAGCGATCATTCAGAATTCTACAGCTGCCTTCCAGTCAGAGCATCTGGAGAAGTGATCTAATTTCAGGAACTGCATTCAGTCCTTCTTTTTATGCTCTAGACTGAGATCACATAATTAGATTTCAGTGGCCCATTCAAGGCCATCCATCAATTGGCACATCCAACCACATCTTGTGGCTTTCCCTTTATAAAAATATTCAAGATGATGAGGCAAAGCTTGAAACCACCCTGCAATCCTCTCATTACCCTTTGCCTTTGCTTGAATTGCTCCCATTGCCTAATGCCATCTCTCCCTTCAGCTGTGCCCGTCAGCTCCTCAGGCCCAGTTTAAGGCTTGCCTCCAACCATCAGTACATCGATCACTACTTTGCCTCCCCTGAGAGACGGGTGGTTGGTTGCACAAGGCCCCAAAGGAGCTTTGATCTAGGAGTCACACAATCAGGGCTGTGGCCCCGACAATGGCTGTGAATAAGCCAATTTGTCTCCTCAGTACACAGATGAGAAATCTCAGTCTGTAGAGACTAAGTTTTATGCTACCGTGGCTTATGGCAGCATCAAAGGCCAGATTAGCACCCAAGTCCTCTGACTCTTGTTTCCAGCTATGGTTCTTCCCACTAAAGAGTGTGTGGCTGCTTCCAGACCTCTTAGTTGCCAACCATAAACAACTTATTCAGGCTCCCTTTGAAGATAGAGATGGAAATCAAAAGACTATATGCATTGGATAATTTGGTGGCATAGTGGCCCAATTTTACAGCCTAACGAGAGGGATCTCCTCCAAATAACTATCTTCTGGGCTTATGTTACACATTCTGACTCAGAGGCTATGCTTTTAAGGAGAATAATACAGGGTGAATCACTCTAGTCTGTGGGCACTTATTTCTATTCTACCAAAGAGGTTTTAAAAGGTGAGGAACGTATACTTATATTCAAGTACAGTTAAGATACAATGGGTTAGAATATGGGAGAACACAGCAATAGTATTTATTCATCTCAAGTACCTCTCAGTAGATAATTAACCTAGGCCATGGTAAAAACAATTCTCTTAGGCCCATTTCTCTTGTGCTAATGGTGTTGTACTACCTGCTGTAGTATTTTTCCTCAGCTTCCTTGTAACAGAACAGTTACTATAATATAGCAAGTATACCTCTTCTGTAGCTGCTCCTTGCAGCTAGAAAAGCAATGATAGAGGAAAGTGTTTCATATTTTCACTTATGAAAATGTAATTCTTATGAAATTTGGAGTGGCAGTGTAGATGTGCCCACCTCTTGCAAGGTTTCCTGTACCATCAACTAAGAGAAGCAGATCTTTCCTCCATAAATAATACATAGTTTCTAAGGTACTTCTCTGTTCTGATATATATTTTGCTCCTCACTGGGTATTTGTGTGAAAGCAAAGATCTATCACAGGGAGTTCTGAATTTGGGGGGTCATGGGCCCTTTTGGCAGTCTGATGAAGCTTTTTACGAGTGTATAAAATAATATCCACTGGAAACCAATTATACTGTAATACAGTTCTATCTATAGACCTCTTCTTGTGTCTTAAACCTATTCTACAACTGACTGTGGCTCCTGCAACTACCTAAATTTTGGCTCTTCAAAGTGGAATTATGAAGTTAGAAACACAACATCTTAGTACAAAGTAAAAGAAGTACCAAAGCTCAAATACAAAGCCCAGGTTACAAAGTGCAAAGGCATTGGACCCCCTCGGGGAGCTGGGCTAGCTAGTTAGCAGGTGGCTGCTGACCTGGGATGCTTTCAGGGTAGTGCAAAGGCTCTCTCCCCGCATCCCCCAAATCCCTCTTCTCACTGTCCACTCAGGCTTGAAATCCCTTAATAGATTCTAATTCCTTTGGTTTAATTAAATAGAGGATTTACTCTTGTTAAAAAGCAAAAACCCATGGGAGAGGTAACACTCTATGCCGAAGATTTTCAAATTTATTTTCAGCAGGAGAATCTGTTTTCAAATGCAACTTTAAATAGAAGGCTGATGTGTAAATGAAGGCAAATTTTATAACAATTCAGTATGATTTTATAAGCTGAATTATATATACACAAATAATATATGTTAGCTGTATTTTTTACGTATTTATATACAAATCAACTCTGTAAATAATAAGGATGTTTTGATGAAGGCAAACCAAGAGCTACAGGTAATAACTGCAGTCTTCCATCCATCACACCATACAATTCATTTCTGTATCTTATTTTGCCTGCACAAGATGGAGAAAATCTTGACATACGTAGATAAATAATTTCAAATAGCTAACTATTGGTTATGATACCTAAGATCTCAGGATTTTCTTCAGTTTTAAAGGACCCAGAAGCTTTAATGAATAGTAGGAAATTTTTGTTTCAAAACAGAATTACTAACAATATCGAACAACTGCTCATATCCCTTAGTAATTAAGGATTAGTTGGTAAGTACTGAATTTAGGGAGATTTGACCAATAGATTTCATAAAGAATTTGAAACCTGACTCCCTTACTTCATAACATTTGCAAAGTAGCTTAATCTTAGTCTCAATCTCTTCATGTGTGAAATGGTTATAAAAATAGCATCTTTTTAATAGCTATTATATAATGTACATAAAGCACTTAGCACAGTGTCTGGCACAGTTAATAAATGCTATTATTATTGAAAGACTGAATGACCTTAGGTAGTTTTGAAATGTGTCATGTAATTTTTAGGATGTTCCATCATGTCCCATTTCAGTTTCTTTTCCGATATCTCAGCACCCTTCTTTTTAGATATTCACTCAATTTTAAAACAATCTAATTTTATTTCCCATGTGGAGGCCAAATTTTTAGATGCTTTATTTCTGATCTTTTATCTGCAGTTGTAAACAAAATAATGTTGCAACCTTGAACTGCAAAATGAAGATTGTTCAGCACAGTTCAAATCAGGTAAAAACAGACCCAAACTTAAAATGAGCAATGAATCAATCTGTAATGCTATATTATCCCAATGCAACATATGTTATTGTAATTGTACAGCTGAACATACGCACCAGAGAACTTGCCTGGTTTTTACTGTATGGTAACATACATACATAGCAATACTAATATTGCTTAACATTTATTTAATTCTTACTAGGGGCTAGGCACTGCTTTAAGACTTTGACATTTATTAGCTCAATTTTCACTTTTGTGTATTTGTATGATTATTAGAGGATATATGAGCAGATCTAAATTTCAAAAGATGACCAGTATATACCCTGTGTAATGAGTAACAGCACAAACCTGTTGATGGTACCTAATGGATTAAAATACAGTATCTGACTTAAATTGTACATATTGTTCTTTGTTACACTTTACAGGAGTTTAAATAGTTACCATACAATGAAATAAGAATTAAATGCTTACAGCCTCCCTGAATGTAACAATTTGAAAACTCACACATGAAGTCTTATCATTCATTTATCCTGGAATATGAAAAGAGCCAAATCAGATCTTTTTCTGGCAGTGTGGGTGTGAAAAAGGAAGAACAAAGTATGAAATTTTTAATATTAAGATTTAATATCATTTTTCAGAAAGACCTGGCACCTATTATGAGCCAGAAATGTTAATGTATTTTCTATAACCCCCATTGCAACTTTGTCCCTAGTAGGTGTCTTTATCCTGAATTTACAGAGGAGAAAACTGTGAACTTGAGATGGAATTTGCTTGCTGGGGTTTACAAAACTGGAAAATGGCAGATAGGACCCCGGCTCTGGCCTACCTGACTTCAGGCCCTTCTGCCTCCCATTTAGCCTCCCCACTTCATAAGCCAGGACAATGAAAACAAGCAAGGGAGAATAACTTGCCCCTGGAAACAGCTAGTTGGTGGCAAGACTGTCCAGGAAGCCAGGAGCAAGGGTGTTTCACTAGGTCAGCTCCCCCGGTGACCCCGTGGAAGGAGCCCTGTGAAACCAGGCCTACTGGGGGCCAGCAAGGTCACTCCTTCCCTTCTCGATTCAGCACCAGATTACATAGCTTCAGTGAGGAGACTGCATGGGTGAGGAGCCCCATCTGTTCTCTCCTGAGTACCTATGATGTGCAAAACCCTGTTCGGTGTGGTGGAAGCTTTGAAACACAGACAAAGAAAACTACCCCTGTCCTCATATCAGTGTGGGAAAAAAGGCACCATTACATGGAATCTTAAACAGGATCTGTGGAAGGAACCTCAGTAGTATGTTTGTTCTCTCCCTCAATCCCTATAATAATGTAAATTTTTAATTGACAGTACAAAACATGGTGCAGTACAATATGTGAAAACCGCCCACAGTCATAACTAATATTTTCAGAGCACTCATTTGTATCAGGACCTTTGTTAAATCCTTTGAATTATCTCATTTCAATCTAAATACAATCCTGTGAGATACTCTTAATTGTGGACATTTTACACATGAGGAAATAGAGGCTGTTTCTAGGAGGTCCCCCACCTGGTAAGAATTTGCACCAGGGAGGCTGACCCAGAATCACTCTGCTCAGAGCTGCAGAGTGATTGGAGTTCAGCAGAAGTTAGTCTGGGAATGCGTGCAAGGATCTTAGCACAGAAACTCCAAAAACACACCGTTCTCAAGATCAAGAACTCACTAGAGCTAGATTTTTTATGAATGTTATCTGACGGGGGTATAGCCTACGATGGCCTCTCCCCACTCCCAGAGTAATGGCTTGTGTGTGTGTGAGAGAGTGTGCCGGACACAGCTAATGACAGCTGTCACATCACTGTCTTCAGCTTTTCCAGCACTCCAAACCAATAAATAACTGAAATTCTGAATAGCAGCAACACACAAAGGTGATACACCACCGCCACTACCGCTGTTTTGGGGAATGCATTTCATAGGTAGGAAGAACGTGAAAAGACAGTTTTCCTGAAAACTCTTTCTAAGCAACCTGAAAAGAGAGCTCTCTTTCCTGACAGAAGTGGGGACATTGCAAATGCCATCGCAGTCCTTGGGTAATGACTGTGTGTCATAAATAGGATATGGCAATTCTGGATGTCTTTGAAGCTATTTCCTTTTGTTCAACTAATTTAATTTACCAAGTGCTCCTGGGAAAAGGTGGTGGTGGGGGTGCGTACCAAGATGCTGACTCCACATTTCCAGAAAAGTCAACATTTTTTTTTTTAACTGCTCTCCAGGAAATTACATCTGATTGTTGTCTGCTGGCTCCCTCAAACTCTACCTGTGTCAGAATTCTGCCCCGGCAGGTGTGAGAGAAAATAGATGCAGAACTCAAGTGAATATTCACATCTGTTTTTGGAAAAAAGGAACAGAAGCAGCACAGAAGGAAGTAAAAGAGATAATTGCTGGCTTGAACAACAATACATTTTACTTGTGGGCAGAGGGCCAGCTTACAGCAGGCGGACTACGCAGGCCCATCTTATTGGAATTCAGGGGTGGGCCTCCATTCTTGTCCGGAGACAGCTGTAAACCAGCAGCCCATAGCATCACAATCAGGCACGGAGTTTTGTCGAGGAATGCTGATATGGACAGAAGCAGCTTTGTCTCTTTCGACTGCACCCCGCCTGGTGAAATGACAGTCAATCTCTGATTCCAGATGACAAGAACTGGATAAAAACTTACAAACAAATGGCGACCTTTCGAGAGATTAATTTGTTTACCAACAAAATGTTCCCTCTTTGTCATCTGAGATGGGGGTGACCTTCACTTTCCCACATCTAGGCTGAAAGGATGCTGACTATAGTCATCTGTTAAGTTAACTCCATCTCAGCAATTATTCCCTTTTTTATTTTTAGTGACAAGAAGGGTTTATTAATTCACTCTGCTTCTTGTTATGGTTTATAAATGCAACAAGCTCATTCTGAATTACTGCCGTGTAACATCAATTTGTTTAAATCTAATTCTGCTACCGTTGCCAAATTATGTTGTGACTGTAATTGGGGCCATATGCATGGGCTTAAAACACAATCATGTTTCAAAATCATCCTTCGCCCCCCCTTCCCCTCCCCCCGATACCCCCACCTCTTACTTCTAGTGCTTCTTCTAATCATTTGACATTAACACAATTGCCTCACTTTCCATTACTTTAGCATTGCAGCGATGAACGTCCTTTCAGTGAGAGAGAGTACTATGCACACCCCAAGTGAAACAGTAAAGAATGAAACTATGATTTGTGAAGTGTGGTTGCTACCCAACTAAGTTGGTAAAAAACACTGCATAACATATGACTCATAAAATCTAGAAATCATAATAGTATTAAATTCAACCTCATGAATAAATAAAAGACTCTAAGTTTACATTGCATTATATATTTATTTATTTGGAAAGTGGGACCAAAGCACTGGTATAATTCTACAGCAACTCGTATGTTGCCAGAAAGAAAATGGTTTTATGATTCTTTTCTAGGTCATAACGGTTATAATCAGAGTTATTTGTGCAGCATTTCAAAGCAATGTTTTGTTTGGCTATTTTGTTATGCATCCATAATCGTTCTTTTAAAATTCATGTTAACAGATACATGTTTCAAGCCTTTTAAGAAACCCTTTTTATTAAAAAGAAATAAATCAGAGTCAAATTTTCTGTGCATCTTTTAATGTGTTACATTAAAAAGTCTAACTGGAACTACATGTCAGTAAGTATGAACACTATTAGAGATTTCCTCTTCTCTCCCCATACCTCTATGGCTGTACTCAAAATAGATATAAGAGGGTATTTTTTTTAATTTGGAAGATTTAGGATATTGGAAAGATCCTCGTTTCACTATTAATACTCTTTTGTAAATTGATTTTACCTAACAAATTCTGAAGGCAGTTTTGTGGGGTGTGTGTTTTCAATGCATTAAAAACCTTTGCATCAGGCCCCTTTTATCAGGAAGGATACACTTCATGAAATGGAGAAAACACCATTTTCTAGGATCTAATAATGCAAATTAGCTAAATATTCAAATATGCTCTGTCAAAAATGTCTAACGTTATTTACAGGCTTTTGACAAGCTGTTCAAGTTTCATAAGAAGTAAGGAAACACATGGCCCTCGGCAGCCAAATAATAATCCCCATTGAGTGTTTAGTTTTAGAAAAGGATTAGCCTTGATGGTGCTTTTCTAATTAACCATACATCACAACGCAAGACATTGCTTCAGTTTAGGTAAGGGCTTTCAAAAACATTTTTGTAAGTGGTAAATCACAGCTGTGTTTATTCCCAAATGCTCTATGTGATTGTTTAAAACCAAACACCTCAGTATTTCTCTCATAGGACTTTCGGCACAATGCTCCTGTTTTATAAATTCAAAATGAAAATACTGTTTTTCAGTTAGCACCATCATATATACATATAACAACATTAACTGATAGAATCAACTATTTCGATGGAAATGCCACTAGTCACTTTGCACAAAATGTAGCTAATGTACATACATTTTAAAGTGCTCTGGTGCAGATTTTTACGGAGTCAAGTTTTATGGGGAAAAAGGATCTTCAGTACAATAAGTGAATATACATTATCTACAGGTCATACAAGGTAAAGTGCTTTCCCAAATCCTCTGTGTTCAAAGTACATGAGCATAACATCTAAGGCATGCTCCTATTTGGGAATTAGAAAAAAATCTAATAAACAACTAAGATTCTTCCCAGCTTTTTGGGTATTATTTTGAATTCCTATTTATGCCTGAATCTTCACTCTGATTCATTAAAGCAAAGCATAATCCTCTCTAAATCTAGACATATGCCTTTTTAAACTTCAATACTCATCAGAAAAAGTTCGCATGAAATGCAATAGTGGCCTTAGGCTACAAAGCTTCCCCACTCCACCAGCTAAGCCAATATTAACTCTAGATTGAAGGGGAAAACCAACAACAAAGGAGAAATCAGCTTGTCTGTATAGCCAGAGAAATAATATTTTTATTTCAAGGGCCTTGGGCTCATGGGATGCAGATAAAACGCCTTTCACATTATTCACATTGACATTTTAAATAAAGTTTTAGCAGGAATAAAAATATCTAACTTTCTGGTTCTTAGGCTATAAAGTGTTTCCATGATAAAGTGCTCTTAAACCAAACCTGTTAGATTAACATGAAATACATATAAAGAAACTAGAAATACATTTCATGGTTAACGTGAATGAAGTAGGCAGTTGAAAATGTCTACGTAGGAAATTCGGAAGATTAAGAGACTATTATGCTGGTCAGAAATGGTTTTGCAGTTTAATTCTAAAATTAATCTTTTAGTTCTGATTTTACCAAAGGATACATTTAAGAGCTTTTGAGAGAAGCCAAAGGTTAAAAATATGTACTGAAAAATGTATAAATGTCACCTCAGTAATTGTTTCCAGTATTAGAAATGATCTCAAACAAACGAATCCCCCAATTAGCACTTAATCCTCCTAAGAAAACCCCACAACACAGAGAGAGTACAATCCTTGCCTTGGGACACTTAACAGGAAGTGAACAGCCAAAACAGGCACAGATTCTGAGATCCCTTACTGCCGGTCTCTGAGTTTGTTTTTCATCTCATCATGTTTGTTTTCCTTCTCTTCATGTCGCAGACATAAAAGATTAACCCCCGGTTGCCTCAGATTTACAGTAATATTCTTAAATTTTGGGTATTGCATGAGCACACACCACTGAAGCTGATCCTGTGCTGTTGTCTTTTGATTTTTCTAGTGGTAAGCCTAATGTCGAAAAAAATATCTAAAATTTCTTTATTAAGTCTTTTTGTTGTTAAATCATTTCGTCCTTGTTAAAATTACGATACTAGATTACTTAAGAACATCAAGGAAAATAGAGAAATTTGAATGACCTACAAACAGATCTTTTAAAAATAGGCTTACTTTCTAAAATCATGTCTAATTATAAACAGAATGAAAGCCACCCTTTCATCTCCAAAAAACTCGAAGGACAAAAGGACCCAAAATCTTTACTAAAATCTACATTATATTTCACACTACTACTAATAACTTGATTTTTTTAAAGAACTTAGAAGCTCATTAAAACAACTCATTACTTACACATGTTTTTCTCTGATTAATATATGGCAAGCTGATTCCATAGGTCTCATTTACAGCAGCTCTGTGGTGAATGTTTTCAGGATCCTGCATGATTTTTACATTCAACCCTATCTTTCGCTGAAACAAAGAAACAATGAAACTTTCATGCTGGATGAACTAAAATGCTTACTAACATTTTAAATTCTCAGAGGAGTGTCAAGTTATTTGAAAAATAATGATTTTAATGTAATTCTTATTAAAACTATATATGTATTTGGTCTTTTATTTAGATTGCTAATTGGTCTCTTTCATTTACAGAAAAAAGAACTTTCCACAGATTTTCCTTCATGTACCCTATTGCTCGTACAAATACATCCTCAGACACATTCATTTTTCTCAAAAATAATGCTGGAAGTCAAACCAGGTGGACAAAGGACTGGGATGCTCTAGCCTTGATTTATTTTTAGCTTTCCAGGTCAAGGATTTTGCCAGTGAAATCTATACTACAACTATACAGGTAGAGGGCTCCCTTGGTCTGTTAATGTGGCCACTTTCCTCAAGGGACACTTGCAGGTAGATCTCAATTTGGACTTGCTAATTTACTGCTACAAATTTATTTACTCCTTCACAAGATTTTGCTATATCTAGAAAAAACGTATGTTTAGAAAAAAGCAGCTCATTTGAATCACGTGTTCCTCATTTTAAATAATTCAAATTAGTTACCAATGAGGTGCTTAAATATAAACCACCAGATTCGGCAGCACGGTGGGGGTACAAAGGGGGCGTTTGAAGAGGCATCCAGACCGAGGTTCTAGTCCTGCTGTACCCTGGACTGCTTGTGTATAACCTTGGGTAAGTCACTTCCTCTCTTGGAAATCATTTTCTTTATTTGCAAAATGCAGGCAACTATGATTTGATGCTGAAAGTTAAGTTGACACTTAATGCTATATGATATTATCAACAGTTTATGAAGTCTTGTGACTTTACAAAATTGTGATATAGTTCACATACTATAAAATTCACCCCTTTGAAAGAGTGCGATTCAGGGGTTTTTAGCATTTTCACAAGTTGCGCATCTATCATCCCTGCCTTATTCCAGAACACTTTCAGCGCCCCACAAAGAAGCTCCACACCCATCAACACCACTTGCTTTTCCCTCCTCCTTCCAGCCCCTGGCAACTCCTTATCTACTTTCTATCTCCTAGATGTGCCCATCCTGGACATTTTATGTAAATGGAATCATAAAATATGTAGCCTCTGTAACTTTTTAAAAAGGCGTGTTGTGAGCAACTAAAAAAAACCTGATATCCTTGCAGTTGAATATCTTAGTCTGAGGGTGATCTCATGCAGTTGTTAAAATGGCTGTAGGGGCCAGACAGATGAGCTCGTGATCTAGGTCTTTCTTTGGTTTTAAGGATGCGTAAACGGGCTGTACCTAAGGTCAAAGTGAAGGGGAAGACTACAAAAATACCTGCAGAATGTTTGCTTCTAGATAAGTTATTTCTTAACATACGCTCCAAACTTTCCTTTAATATTTTTAATAGCAGTTTTAAACCAAATGTGGGGAAGCTGGGGTTCCTCTGGCCAGGATCGTCACTGAACTTAAACCACCTGATGATGTAACTGGCCTGTTGCTGGGCTGCCGCTTCCACACCTTTAGGCAATAAGCTATTACTGCGCTACATAGAGAGCTCGGCCCAGTGCGCTGGGCAGAGGCAGAGAGGCTAGTGCTCGACCTACCACAGGGAGAACAAGCCGGGTAATAAACCCTTTCACCCCAAAGAACGTTTTGCTGTCATTTTCTTTGGTCACATTGAATCCATAGCAAACTTGCCCAGGGCTGAAACCCATTGGCAAGACACTGAATCTTCAAATAACTGCTCTCAACTGCCTACTTTATTTAACCCCTGCAGGGACACAGGTTGCAAATAAGACATCTACTCCCTTCTCCTTGAAGTTTTTGTAGTTACAAAAACAATGTAGTGCCTAATTACAAATGGCTTTTCTTCTGTAGGTAAACCTACTGTCTTGCCAATGGGTTTCAGCCCCGGGCAAGTTCGCTATGGATTCAATGTGACCAATGAAATTGACAACAAAACATTCTTTAGGGTGAAAGGGTTTGTTACCCGGCTTGTTCTCCGGGCAGTAGGTTGAGCACCCCGTCTCTGCCTCCGCCCAGATCACTGGGCCCAGCTCTCTCTATAGCACAATAATAGCTTATTGCCTAAAGGTGTGGAAGCGGTAGCCCAGCAACAGGCCCGTTACATCATCAGGTGGTTTAAGTTCAGTGACGATCCTGGCCATAGGAACCCCAACTTCCCCACAGTAACACATTAGAGGAGAAAATGGAAGTTCCTATGGCTAGGATCCTCACCTGACCCTAAAGTGCTTGATGATATAATTGGCCTACTGGGTAGGCAATGAGCCTTCATTGTGAGGTGTTACTGTGTACGAGCGCCACCCAGTGCTTGGCCAGGAGGCAAAGATGGAGATGTATTGTGACCTTTGCAGAGGCAGATGTGATTCCAGCACTCTACCTGTCACCATGAGAATAAAGCTTGTTATACAACCTTTTGCCCCA